GCGATAGGTTGCAAAAATTTTGACTGCCTAATATTCGATTAATTCTCTTGCACAACGTGATACGGAAGATCGAAACTCTTCGGGATTTACTATCGTTGATTTTGATGATGTTTGAGTTTTATTAATATCCAGGATTGACACCTGCCACATTGTTGACGTGAGTCGAGAATTACGCACAATAATTATTATTTTTTATACATGTATTAATGAAAAATTTATGCGATTTAGGATTTTTCTTAATCGAAAATCTCAAAAAATACAAAGGTGTGTGACTAGAGACCAATTGGTATACCGTGGAGAAGGCTAATAAACAGAGCAAACTGAAGACTAAAGTGCCTTAAAGAAAGTAAAATACACATTTGTATTTTATTTTTAATAATAATGGATTTAGCAAATCTTGAAATTCAAGAAATTAATTTTTTAAATGAAGAAGAAGAAAATGAAAAAATACAAATACACTGTACACCAAAACGATACATTCGTGATAAAGAAAATCCATTTGAATTTTATAATGAGCAAGAATTCAAAAAAAGATTTCGATTTTCGAAGAATTCTATAACGTTTGGTATTTTACCATTAGTGGAGGAAGGACTAGCAAAAATTAATAATCGCGGTTTGCCAATACCTTCTGTTTTACAATTATTGATCTGCTTAAGGTTCTATGCAACAGCAACCCGGTAAAAAATTTCTCATATACCGGGTGTTTCAGACCATCCGTCCCACCCTTTTAAAACGTAGGGATGTGCTTGTACAAAAAAATGGCTCAAACGAAATTTGCATGATTTCGAGGGATCTATCTGTGGGTGACCTTGACTTTGACCTCGCAGTTGATTTTCAAGGTCATTTGAAGGTCAGAGTAATTTTTTTAAATGGAAACCCCTATTTTTGATTCCAGAATCTAATAGCTGGTGTCAAGAGCTTTTCAAAACACTATAATGAAGTTATTTTTCATTAAGTACTTTTCGAGTTATGAGGCTTGTAAATTACAGTATTTTGACATAAAATACAAAATATCTTGTAAAACATTCAATTTTTGGGAATTTTACCTTAATACTTTTATGCATAAAATAATGAGACGAATCAATTGATATAAAGAAAACACATTGGTTTAAAAAAAAAGTATGCAGTTGCATGTTGCAAACTACATATTTTTTCTTGAAAGCAACTACTAATGCAACTACTAAGCAACAAATAATGCAAAATCTATCTCGTATTTTAGTCATGATGATTATATGAAACTTGCAAAGAGTGGCTAGTAAGATTAAAGACATAGTAATTATTTTTATCAGTTTAATTTTTCTGATACGACCTCAACACAGGGAATTCAGATATTGAATTGATTGTTCAAAAATCGGACAGATAAATGTCCAAATAAATAAAAATATATGCAACATTATTCTAAGATTGCAATAACAAATAATGCATAGTGCATTATTGCAAATTCATTACATTGCAATATTATTACATTGTAATATTTTGTTACAATCTTCCTAAAAGCGGACATTTTAACGTTGCTGCAATCCCACAGCAATGATGCAATAACATTTTGCAGTGAATTTGCAATATTGCAACATTGCGATGAAAGATTGATGCAATGTATATGCAATCTTTGTGTGCTGTATGGGTATATATATATATATATATATATATATATAT